TGGGGGTGGGGGTGGGGGTGGGTTTGGGGAAGCGAACCATGATAACACCTGATAACTTCCTCACCCCATGCTGGAACGTGCTCTTCCTCTACGCTCCCGGATGTCAACAGCAGAAAAACTACGCTGTACACAACGTCAAGTGTAGTGAATAAAAACAAATATTGTTTCTCTTCGCCACCTGATAACACATAACCAGGAGCACGTAATTATATATATATAAGCAGTGTACGTGGCGCTGCTACGGCAGTTCATGAGTAAACCTCATGCTAGCTAGATCTAGAGACATCACGATCGAGTAGAGAGCGAAGAGGGAGGAGGGCAGTATAGTGAATTATACGTCGGAGAGTACCATACAGGTTTATTACGTGTTAGGGTCAGGAATAATGATAAATTCTCCCAGAAACGCGTGCTTTAAATTAGCACCAAAGATTCGCCGATCATTGCACCATGAAAGGAAGCGTTTTACATGCGGTTAGTTCACGATTTTAGTCACCAGTCCCTGTTGAGTAACGTAGCTTTTACGACGATAGGTAAATGTATCACTAAACCTGCCCTTTTTTATAATCCACCTAAATAAGAACTGTGAGTAAATTTAAGTAATTGTACGAAACTTACGTATAGGGATCAACCCTGACAAATTTGTTCTGTCTCCCGCGTACAGCCAGCGAGATCAATGCACACAAAACTTATTCCATACCGATGACATTTTGCTTATTGTTAATACAGGAAAAAATGAGAAATAGCCGTCCTACGTAAATCCCTGAAGAGTAGTTAAATTATGTATAACATACACCGAAAACCTAGAACCGTTCTACACTGCACAGCTTATAAACTGAACGTAAGAGAAATTTTTTTGGAAAGCTTTTTTTCTACAAACACAATTTTTTATACTTTTTTGAAAGACTTTAAATGGTTACTTTAATACTTTTTCTGTACCGACTTTTTGGTTTATGAACGCTCGGCCGCTCTACAACTATCACAAATTACTCTTGCTCACGTATCAAGCATGTTCGCTCTAACCGAAATAGAGCGCAATAGATACGTCGCATAGTGTCAACACCTTGCCCACTTGCACGGTAAATGTAAATATCATTGCTTTTTTTCTTTATTGATCGCAGCATGTTTTCCCCTAATGCAAGACTCTCTCTCTCTCTCTCTTTCTCTGAGAGGCATGAACTAAAATAAGACTGCGACGGAATCAGGTTCAAGGACCCGGGTGGGCGCGGTGCCAAATGTAAGATTGGTGGTGGTCAGAGACACAGACGCCACTTCAATCAACAATCACTTTTTAATAAGCGGAATATTAGTCGGGCGTTAACGAGCGCACGGCGATCGTTAACGGACGACTGGCGGAAATTGGTAATTGAACGAGACGTCGGAGCGACATACCCGTAACATGACGAAACGCGCTGCACGCCTACCAGCACACGACGTGCGAAAAGAAGTCCTAATACGCACCATATACGCACACGACATGCGAAAAGAAGTCCTAATACGCACACGACGGAATCCTGCGACAAAACAGAAAACTTCTCCGAAACGGATGGGGTTAACGTCGCGCGTCATCGTTGTCGTTTCCTGTCGCAAATACCCATCCGAGATATTTCCACATATTAACTAGTCCAAATAGTCTGATACAATTTGCTCTGTCCGAGTGAATACATCCGACATCATTGCAGAAGCAAATATATTACATATATAATTTAATATACATGGGAATCTACGTATTTCATTGTACAACCTCCCAATTCAAATCGTAGAATAATGGTCAAATACGATGCATACGCTACAGTATTGCCCGATGACGTCTCGGTTACAGGAAATCTGTAATATACTGCCCGGGATATAAAAAATAATCTAAGCAACCTATGCGTATGGCAAGAACCGGTGGAAATAACGAAGAAATGCTGCAAATCTGCATCAAACCAATTCATAATCGAATCCGAACAGCAGTTATGAAATCACATACAAACACACACACTTTATACAGCATATGCATTCTTAACGGCTGCAAAGTTCTAGCCGTGTTCCTACCCTTTTAAATCTCATGGTGTAGAATGGAATTGAGTGAGTAGATGAAGGCAAGATGCAGCAGAGAGCTGTGGCAGAGCGACTCGGATGTTCGCTTAAACATTTCAGTCACTCGACTCTGTTAAGATGACCAACACGGCGCGCGACATCAACGCACACATGACAGAGTCCTCAGCTTACGTGCATATGCCAAGGTTTTAACGATGCCACCAGAGGCATCTGACATGTACCATGCATGCCACACGAAGAAACAGTATAGCACTGAAAAGACGTTGAGAGAGATCGACTTTGCCGGAGGTGGCGACGGGGAAGCAGACTCTAGCTAGGCAGCGAAAAAATTACAAAAGCTGGGACCAACCAAGTCTATCAGAGAGTCTAACAAGGCTGTGCGGAACACGAAAGTGGTGAGGGAAACCAAGGGGAACACAGAAAAGGGGTGGCAGATAGCGAGAGCAGTAAGGGCTCACGCAAGATTGAAGTGCACGGGGAAAGGAGGGGGCGCTCGTACAGTTTTTTTCTCTCATTACAATATATTTACAACCTGTACCCTGTTACCGTGGCGAAGAGGCCTCCACAGCGACGACAACGCGGCAGAGCAGTACGGCCGTCGTTCGTAGGAAGTATCGACACGTTTCGCGCGTGCGCCGTCGCGCCGCGCGATGCGAACGTCTCTATCTGTCGCTTGTCTCCCAGCGCGGCACAAATTCTTTCGCAAATGGGTTGAGGCCAGTGTTATTAAGCTGAAACGGAACACACAAAAAGCTCATATACGTACATCCAGTGCATAATGCACAAAAACACATGAAAACATCTATAACCATCTCTCTCTCTCTCTCTCTCTCTACACACGCACACACACGCACACGCGCACGGTCCTGCCGAAATTCGTCTGTACGCTATTTAGTCACGCGCGCCGCGCTGTAAGCCGTGGCGCCCGCTTCCGCCGCCGTCGCCGCTGCCGCGTCGCACGCTGCTGTTTTACCGCCGCTCCCTGCGCTCATCAATTAGTCGACCCTCGCTACGTAGTAATTACTCCATTACTCGGCGACAATGTTTGCTGAATGGTACGGCGCGGTTTTGTTCGCCGCACGTCAATCTGCGAGAATGTAAGTGCTCTCTCATAATAATGCACCGCTGCGGCTCATCTCGTTTTGATAGGTTTGTATGTATCGACGGGGAGAGCGAGTATCGCAGAAAGCCTATATCGCGCAGAAGAAAACCGCAATCCATTCTCTCTCACGCGCTCGCCGATTCTATTCATGCCACTGGCGGGGAAACGACGAAGCCCTTTTCTACATCGCACTCAATCAAACCGGTATGAGCGCCTGTAATAATAATGATGATGACGATGACGATATTATAGCGAAGTGGAAATGAGCTAATTTTCGTCGAAATGGAGCGGCGGTCTTCTGCTGCCGGGACAACGCGTACGTATGAGCGTTGGGGTTATTCTACGCGTGATAGCCAGCCAATTCTGAGTTATCTCCTGCAGCATAACCCGGGGAAAGCTGTGACGGCATTACTGACTGTCGGTGACCCAGGGGCGTGTACAGGGGGGGGGGGTCCAGGGGGTCCGGACCCCCCCCGCTCGCAAGTTTGGGTTACGGTTAGACCCCCCACCCCTGGTTCAAATCCTGTACACGCCCCTGTGACCGCGACTGTACTGGTAGCGCTAGGTCGGACTGAGCCAGCCTTTGGGTTACACACGTTCACGGTCTCTAGATGTTAGGTTAGCTTGTCGGTGTTTCGGTCTGAGTGTCAGTCAACGGGTTGGCGTGGATGTCGTACGTAAGCACAGCGGAGGACACTGACGTCACGACCATACTTTGGTTCATAGAAACATATGCCCACCCAGTGGAGGACATCGGTGACACGTGAAGCAGAGAAATCTGTTGTAGGCATCCAGTGGAACTACAGTAATAACCCGCGTATAAGAACATAGATTTTTCCAAGTTAGCCTCAACATGTTCTTATATAAATGGTGCTTACTGAAAAATTAGGCTCAAAAGGTTCTTAAATAGGTTCTTAATTGTTTCTACTTTTAATATGTATAAGCTTATACTTGATCAGGAGGACCGGCAGTTTTGTAGAAGATGGTGGCCGAAGCAAAAACTGGTGGCCTCCGGGTCGGCACTATTTTCGAACGCTGCATGCACTCCATGTATATATAATAATTATATATATATATATATATATTATAGAGAGAGAAGAGAGAGAGAGAGATGGTTATAGATGTTTTCATGTGTTTTTTGTGCATTATGCACTGGATGTACGTATATGAGCTTTTTTGTGTGTTCCGTTTCAGCTTAATAAACACTGGCCTCAACCCATTTGCGAAAGAATTTGTGCCGCGCTGGGAGACAAGCGACAGATAGAGACGTTCAGGTCGCGCGGCGCGACGGCGCACGCTCGCGAAACGTGTCGATACTTCCTACGAACGACGGCCGTACTGCTCTGCCGCGTTGTCGTCGCTGTGGAGGCCTCTTCGCCGCGGTAACAGGGTACAGGTGTAAATATATTGTAATGAGAGAAAAAAACTGTACGAGCGCCCCCTCCTTTCCCCGTGCACTTCAATCTTGCGTGAGCCCTTACTGCTCTCGCTATCTGCCACCCTTTTCTGTGTTCCCCTTGTTTCCTCACCACTTTCGTGTTCCGCACAGCCTTGTTAACTCTCTGATAGACTTGGTTGGTCCCAGCTTTTGTAATTTTTTCGCTGCCTAGCTAGAGTCTGCTTCCCCGTCGCCACCTCCGGCAAAGTCGATCTCTCTCAACGTCTTTTCAGTGCCTATACTGTTTCTTCGTGTGGCATGCATGGTACATGTCAGATGCCTCTGGTGGCATCGTAAAACCTTGGCATATGCACGTAAGCTGAGGACTCTGTCATGTGTGCGTTGATGTCGCGCGGCCGTGTTGTCATCTGGAGCCGCCCG